TTCTAAAAATCTAGCAACTTTCTCAAAGGTCTGAAGGATTAAATGCAAACAAGGGGCAAGTATCAATCAGGGTATTGTTTTATTCAGGCTAATCTTTCTGTGGCAGTTTTATATAGTAATTTAATGTGGCCATCAAATTGCTACTGATTACCAAAGCAAACATAAATCAAACAAACTTGATCATAGTCATTCTATCTTCAAGACAGCAGGTATGCATTGCCTTGCAATGAATTAACACCACCCTTTCTTACACTTGTGTGCTGGACACAGATGTGAAAGGTCTTTTTCCATATCAGCTTTTTAACATTCATACATGGAAAATTTCACCTCAAGTCAAACACTTGTTCTAATTAATGCAATACCAGGAATAACGAAGCATATAAAATACTTGACATGCTTCACTGGGAGTCATGTTTATACACAATCCATTAAAACGTACTTGTTTAGGAAAATAGGGCCAACTACAGAGTTCAAGGGCTACATGTCTTCCATTAATTGGTAAGAACAAGCTGCACTTGTAAAATGTATTCATTTATTTTGATCTAACTTGCTTTATCTGCCTACATTTTTTTAAACTAACTTCCTCCACCTCAAACTCTTCACAGATTCTGTAATTGAACCCTCTGTCTCCTGCTGTGCATGTACTCCTGGTTTTTATTACAGTGGTCTTTCCACATTCACCTGACAGCAAGTCATATTTCAGCTAAAGAGCTCTTTTCTGACCTACTATAATTCCTTCATTTAAGAAAAAATATTTTTATGAAAAGAGCATTATTCACAAGCCTACAGAATGTAGTTTACTACTTACTACATTCATTCTGTGAGCAGTTTCATACTTTGGAAAGAACAGTATAATTTGTTCACAGCTAGCCACTACCTTTCTAAGTAAATACCATCACATGCACACTGTGTCAGTCTAGCTGGTAATTGCAGAATGAGATACCACAAATAAAGCACTTTTCTTCTTGTAAGTACTTCCTGCTTAACACGTATTTCAACTCATGAGAAAAGAAGAAAGGGTTTGTGAGACTGTGGGCCAGTTTTTTTCTCATTCTTGAATTTCAGTTGAGTGAAAAAATAAAAAGCTGTATTAAAGGAAAAAATAGATTTCTGTTAAAAAAAAAAAATTAACCTTTCTCCCTTCTTTGTTTCACAGTGAAAAAAATGAAGAAAAAAAAAAAAATCACAACAAAGACTTACATCTGCATGTATTGTCAGAATAATGAAGTAGCAACAAGCAACAATTGCTCTCCACCTCCACATACACACACTTTCCCTCTCTCCTTAATGTGCTTTAGGTGAGCCTAAAGGAAGCATTTCTAATCATAACCAAACTGTTCTTTATATCCACAGAGCCTTTCAAGCTAAATCCCTATTATCTGTGAGACAAGGAACAATTTCACACACATGAAGAGGACCGGGAACACAAGCAAAGACTCCAGGGTTGACTGAAGTTCCAAAAAAAAAAAAAAAAATCCTTACTGTGAAGCCACAGAAAAGATGCTGCATTTCTCTGCTGGTCACAAATCTAGTTAAACATAACCTTCTCTTTCCCAGACCTCACATTTAATTAGCAGTAGCACACTATTTTCATTCAGTATTCCTATCTCAACAAGACCCTCTTCACAAAATTTTAGCCACCACCTTATCAAAGGAAAAAAATGAGAACATTTTCTATGCTGACATACATCATGTGATTATTTCCCTGTACTGCTGATTTAAGTATCTAATTTTCCATCAGTCTCACATTATAACCACCTACACTTTCATATTCTGACCTGCCACCCTCTTCTTCTACTGTCTGTACATATTTACAGTTGTATACTTCTATGGAAAGCTCAACACAACCAAGCACCAAGCTTGGTGAGGACCTCTTGGGCTAGGATCTCTGCCAACTGAAGTATTTATTGCAAATAATTATTTCATAGAATATTTTAATAGCATACAAGTTTCCAGTACTTGCCTCCAATATAACTTAGAAATTTTCTTTTGAGATTTTGCACAAATTGATTTTTCAGGATCAAGAGATGCATTTAGTGAGAAAGATTTGGTTTGTGTGCTTGCAGGTAAGTCTTTACATATTACGTGACTCGGAAGAAACAATGAATTGCTGAGGGGTTTTGGCTTCTGTATTTAATAGACAATATCAACATATTTCTGTTCTAAACATAGATTTGGAAGACAACCTTAGAAAAAATATACTTCAAGTACTGGCCAAGTTTTTATATAGTAAACTAGAACAGAAACCAATGTTTACAACACATTTTAAAATAAATATGTTGTGTTAAATTCCTTCCAAAAGTGAAAGTTTGTAACAACAACAACAACTACAATATCCTAGAATCACAACAGTTACAGAGGACACTAAGATACTATATTTTGGGATATTTTGCAATGTTTCAAACACAGTCCAGATGCTCACAAAGTCTTATAGATTCACACATTTCAAGGCCAATATACACAAGTACAGAAGACAAATATTTTAGAAACAATTCAGAAATTTAAAAAGCTGGAGGATATCTAAAATGTAAACATGACTGCATTTTGGTCAACCAAATACCTTTTAAAAATTGCATCAGGACTAGAACAGAGGTTTTCACATGGGAATGGCTCAAAGCTGTATCAGAGAGGTTTAGACTGGACATTAGGAAGCATTTATTTACCGAGAGGGTGGTCAAACACTGGAACAGGCTTCCTAGAGATGTGGTCAATGCTCCAAGACTGTCAGTGTTTAAGAGGCATTTGGACAATCCCCATAACATGCTTTAACTTGGTCAGCCCTGAAGTGGTCAGGCAGCTGGACTAGATGCTCATTATAGGTCTCTTCCAACTGAAATAGTCTATCTTATTCTGCTTCAGAAATACGACTAAGCAAATTAAATTAAAATAGTGATGTTGTAATCTTTAGTTTTGCAACAGTAAATAGTCCCTATCAAAAAACATGAATGAATTTAAATGTATAATATAAATAATACATTAGAACTGGAATCATCAGTAATTCTCTTCTGCAGTAAATAGCTGTGACAGCAAAGTGGTCTAATTAGACTTACAGACAGACTGAACAATTCAATCCAAGAACTTCCACATACATATAACAAATACCAAGTTATCTAAGATGAGATAGAACAAAGAAAGGATATCATGTATGCGATTAAATTAAGATTTTCCAGTAAATTAAATTTAAAGTGAATAAAAACCAAAGTGATATCTTTGGTTTTTATAACTGAACAGTCTCTACTTTGTCTCAACTGCTGTGAACATTAGTAAGAGGCAATTTATTTACCAGTTATAGGGGTAATCCGTGTCAAAAGTTTGAATTGCATGACTTAAATCCAGTTTAACACCCTGTCAGATCCAGTGACTATTTTCTTAGTGTGCCAGGTGGGATTTAGAAGTAAAATATTGAGAATTCAATTCATATACAAATGATTAGGCTATACTAGCAAAAGAATCAGTAAACAGAACAGTACCACTTAAAAGAGCAGAGGTAAGCATGCAGATATATCCAACCAAAAACCAAAATCAATTTTCATATCAGGAAATATCTTTTCATCCTATGTGATTCTGTTGCTTCTGGACTAAAAACACAACCATCTGGAGTTTCCCTAAATCAGCAAATGTCATCAGCACCACTGTGATCTTGGATGGAGGGAGGTGAAAGCTCTCCCTCATGGCACCTTGTTGAGCTAGCAAATCTTCCATAATATTTAACTGAAAACCAATTTCAGATATTGATGTCATGAGTAACTATTTCAGAAAACATGAAAAAGGAGAGAGCCAGCACACAAGCAGGCAGGAAGCAGCAGGAGTTGATTTTTCTCCCAGTCAAACTGAGTCCAAGAGACTCTTTCCAGCACAAAATTTCATTACGTGGTTTTGTATGTTATGCATCTTTTTCAAAATTTTATTTCAAATAGAAGAACATTGATATCTCAAGGAAAGAACTAAAGCTTACACCCAAAACCCTGAGCATTGGAAATAACCAAAAAAGTTTATTCACTTCCAGCAAAATACCGGAACTTGTCACAGAAATTCAGCACACGTAAACCTCTGAGCATTTCAGTAGTCAGACTGCAGAGCTATTTTAACTTAAGAAGTGTATCAAAAACATCCACATCAAGTCTGAAGAGGCATAATGTAATGTTGACAGGTGAAAAAAACAAGTTTTGTTTTTTCTTCTGTGATAAAAGAAAGAATCACTAATTAAAGCATGGTGTGCAACTTCCCAGTAAATTTCTCTCAGGACAAACCAAAGGAAAACAGCTCATGTTAGAAGGATGGACACTTTATATAAATGGTATACATGAGGGGTTTGTCACGGCTTTGTGAACTTCACACCAGAGGAAATCAACTTAAAATTTGATCTTATTTTTATAGTCTGTATACTGTAGATGGAATATATGCTTGTATTCACACAACTAGATATTTTTTTTAAAAATAAGCTTTTTTTGTAAGTGCCTATAGCTTTTCAGTGATTCCTAAAGTATTCTGTGAGGAATTTCACATATTGGTCACTGAAGAGCATCTATACTTCGCATGTATATTTCTGTACTCTTTAAATCAGAAGTTCTACACCACTGAAGCTAGACTGACTTCAGTATCTAAGTTATCTTATTTATGCAAAAGAACACAAACCTTCTTGTTCCCTGCAGAAGGGGGTTACCACCCACTAACTTCTTACTGTCTGGCAGTATGTATGAGACCTTTTAGAGGAAACTCTACTGTATGGTGGAAGAGGTATTCAATATTCACAACACTGATGAAAACAAACATTGCTATAAATCTTTTTTTTTTCCTCTGTAGACTGTAGACAGTAGGCAACAGACTGCCCTGCAACCCAGCAAAGCAAACAACCCCTACAGGACAGGGGACACTGCCACATAAGGGAAGACTCACCCATATGTAGCTACCAAACTTTGCTAACAAGTATGAAAGTTAGGTAGCTTCACTAGAAGGTGGCACTGTTAAGTACATATACATACACGCATAAAAACCCTTACCTTCTCCAGGATTGACTGCAGATGGTAGATTAGTCCAGTCTAGGGTCCAGCTGGGGCATGGATGAGGAGAAAACTTGGCTTCAATACCATTTTCCTATGTGAAAGGAGGAAAAACAAATTAAGACACTGCTCCTTTACTCACTCAATTTGGTAGCAAAATCTCCACTGCATTTAACGGCATCAGATCAAAATATGCCACACTTTCAGTCTAACTGAAACTAAAGAACACAGCTGACTCTACATTACATGGGATTCAAATTATTTATTTCTCTCTTTGTCACAAGAAAGCCCTGTTAATTTTCTTTAGGAAATGTTGTCAGCCTCTATGCAAAAAATACTGTTATGGAACATAACAGAGAGTTTTCTTTAACAAAACTCAAGGTTCCCAGATGTTCAAAGCTCTAATCAAAAAGCAAAAAACCCAAACAGAAGCAATAGAATAATGAAGCCAAACATCAAAGTAACATCTTTTGTCATCCTTTTTATAAATCACTTTAAAAGAAGAATACAATATTGCAATTCAAACAAAGAGTTGCTTTGATTATTCAGAATTATTGATAGGGCTTCCAGCAGTCCTATCTTTACTCAATTCCTGAATGATCAAATATCAGAACAAAAAAGTAAAATCACTTTTAAGTCAATGCGTATCAGACAGAAGATGGGCAAAAGGTATTTTCACTTCTGCAGTTCTAATAAATTTCACCTATTTCAAATCAAGTACAATACTATTAACTCATTAAAAGTTCATATTACCATTAATTTCGTCATAGTTGGCCTCGGACCACCTATTAAATGACTGTCTTCATTCTCCTCTTCTAATCCATCTGGAACTGAAGAGAAGTCTTGTAGCTGTTCCTCTGGAGCAGACGCCAACTCTGGAAGCTGGAGAAGCACCATATTGCATTTGCCAGCAGCTTGCTTTACTCCAGGTACATCTTGAACTCTTCGATACCAACTGGATATCAGAGGTAAATTTACCAGATTTTTGCCTTGGTTTTTGCTGGAAGCCTAAAAAAATAAAATGGAAAGGTTACTTGCTACTGTAAATTTCTTCCTATGAGCCACAAGAAGGCACGAACTACAGAAGCAAACTTGACTCCACACTGAGCATACCCACTCAGAGGATGACAGTAATGCAACAAGCTAGCCAGTTAAGAGTTCAGGCCTGCAGGTGGAATTGCCAGTTGGCCACTTAGACTTCACCTGCGATTCTCATTTGCTTACTAGGATTAAAAGGTTCACGTGACCAGTTTAATCATAATTTCAGCCAGTTACAGGAAAATACAATTTAAATAATATTCTTAATTATCTGCTATTTCCTAACAAGGGAATGATTCATTTTGGTCGGTAATCACAAAAAAAAAAACCCCACACAGTAATTTGCGATGAATACTGAACTCTATGCAAGACACCTAAATGCCCTTCCTTCCCAAGAGAAACCCTGTAGCCCTTTAAAGCTCATCCCCTGACAGCTGTTCTGCTGGTAACTGCAAGCCTGAAATACCTTTAACTATGTGGGAACAGCAAAACAGGCACAAGCATACATTGCCCCTGATCTTTACTGAAGCCTTTGTACTTCGTCTGTGCCTTTTCTTTTACTAGCACTGAATCCAAAATTTTTCTTCCTAAAGCATATATGTACTCAAACTTTTTTACCATTTAACTTAATATTTTTATACAAAATCAGTAATATATTTATTTTCTGAATTAAGTATATATGACGGTGAGATGCCTTCAAAAGAAATTCGAGTTTTAAGTGTAAAAAACCCACAAAAAATTCTTAAATAAGAATGTGGTGCATATATTATAAGAAACATACCCAAATCACATTTTTACATGAAGACCAGCTAATTTTAAAAAGGACACATTTGGTGAACTTAAATAATTTTTGATTAGGTTCCTAAACATTTTAGAACAGTGAAGATCATCCTCTTACAGGAAAGGTTGAGAAGTCTCCATCCCTAGAAAAACAAAACCTGGCTGGACACAGCCCTGGGTAACCGGCTCTAGCTTAGAGATGTTAGACAAGATGATCTCCAGAGGTGCTCTCCAACCTCAACTATTTTGTGATGCTGTGCCTGCTTTAAGCAGAAAATTAAAAATCACGATTACAGGAAAACGCAGAAAAGGCCATGTAAAAACAGTGCTGCTCCACACATCTGTCCTCAGTGTGGAAATGGAAATTGGTAAAAAACACTTGAAATGACACAAAATTTCTATCAGCTTTCTTGCATGCTGTGTTTATAATGTTCTTAGAGTAATCACAAGTAATTAGTAATAGCTAAAGGAGCAAAGGGAGGATGAACTGTGTAATTTTAGTATCTAATTCAATATCCTAATGGTAACACAGAGAGAAATACATTAATTCAGTTAAGGAAGAAGTCTTTTGGAAAGCAATTCTAAGAGGCACTGTTACACTTGATAACAAGTGTTCTAAATTGTATTTTAAAAAGTGACTAGTGGTTTCTCCCAGATGAAGAACAGAGCTTTTGTAATTCTTCTATTAATTTTAAACAGTTACAACTAATAGAAAGTGTAACAAAGCTAACCTCAGAAAGATAACAGAAATGGAATGAGGTAATGAAAAACAACTCTTCAGCTTCATTATCTTACTTTTGGTAATTATAATTATAATCAGCTAGTCATGTCTCCTTAAATTTATTGTATGATATTTTCCCAGACACATACCCATTGAAGACTTCGCAATTATTCACACCCTTAAAGCAAAGTGGAAGTGCAACTATAATGATTTTTTTTAAAAACAGAAGTCCAGTTATATAAGTGATAAATATATTTTAAATACAGAATTAACTCTGGCACTTCCATCAACCAGAGCAGTTTCAATCCACTGCCTGCAAGCAGCTTTCAGATCCAAGTTATTCAATTTTGATGATAACTGGGGGAAATCAAGGTATAATTGCTTAGAAAATTATCATTTACCAGAGAACAGAAATAAAACAACATTATCCCAGAGCTCTTATAATTTAGGTAAAAATGAAACTGAAAGCCAGTTTTTTTAAGGACAATCCTTGGTGCAAGCTAACACAAATGTGTTACACAATATATAGTGGATAAACTACAGATCACCAAGGCGCAAGGGTCACACATGAAAAGCAAATAAATACAGCATTCTCAGCTGCTCACAGTACATCTACAGAATGATTTCAATTGGATTGCTAAGATCAGTTATGCATCTGATCCAAGAATCTTCTCATACCTAGCAACAGTAAATCAAACATTACTGTAAAACGTTATTCTCTTCTTATTTAAAAAGGCCTTGGAAAAACAAAGAAGACTGAAGTACATTAAAGTTTTTTAAATAATAGGAAAGCATTTTTCTTACTACTTCTGTTTAGTAACATCTATACAAAAATTGCTGTTAATCCTCAATTACATTATATGGAAAACAAAGCAAGCAGCGATGAATTAACCATTTTGGTAAAATAACTCATCATCTTAATTCAAAAGACAGTCATATTAACCTACTTCTGGATTCCCATATTGCTATCACCATACAAAAATCCACTGAGGATTATGATCTTGGTTTAAAAAGTTACATTTGTCACATATTAATGATCACTAGCAGTTATCTTGATTTTAGAGATCGTTTCTCTGAATCTGACTGACAGCATCTTCTCCAGGAATTCCATTTGTTTTCAAACACCATAAGGCAAATTTGGCAAAACAACCTGCAAAATTAAAATGTGCATACCAACTTCACTGAGATCTCTTCCTGGCAACAGATACCAACCTAGCTATCAATCTCACAGAGCAACTGCAGGAATACTGGTAGTAGGCAAACTCATATCATTTTATTGTCATGGGAAATAAAGACACAGTTGTTACAAATTTCCTTAGTTCTTTTCTATGTATAAATCCTCATGAAACTAAGTACACAGACTGTGCTGAGCAAGACTCACACAGTCTTGCCACAGAAGTTCTTCCCACTGTAAACTGGTTTTGAAGCTGAGCTTATCACTTGCACCACAAAGCCCTACCTCCTTCCAGAAACTAGAAGAGGGTAGAGGGAGAAAAGGGGGGCATCAAGGGTTAAAAAAAGTAAATAAAAATCTAATTGCTTTATTAGGTTCAAAATGTATTTTGATATATTTTCCTAATCCAAATGTTAAGCTATTTGTACAACAGAATCTGCAAGACACTGACACTTACTAGGTAATTGTGACAAAAAAACCCCAACAACCAACACACACACATGGAATCTCCTTCTCAGGCCCACATAAATTTTGTACCAAGTGAGAGATCCACCACAAAAGATTCAATAACCAAGTGACTAAGGCTCTACTCTACAAGAGGGGTGAAATGAGTTTTTAACAGATCATTGATCAAAAGCTACAGAGATCAAAAGCTACTGATTCAAATTGCAGTCAAGTTGACACAACCAATAGTCTGGCAAACTGCCTCCTGGAGTGCAGAAACTTGTAAAAGCAGCGTTGCCACTTGCGACACTGTTTCTATAATGACATTCGATGTCAGGGAGCAAAGATTATTCCCCAGTTTTCCACATTCCATGTGGTGCCCCGATTGCCAGCTGCATCAGTGCTTTTCCTGTTTTATCTTGGTGAAAGTCTTTGAAGGTTTCAAATTCCTCCTTATACAGACTGGGAGATCCTTACAGATCTCTAAATACATCACAGGATGCAAAATAGTCCTACACTCAGAATGAAATTTTGCATATACCCACTATATACAGTGTCCATGTTACTTTGCTAGCATACACTGTTTTTCCACGTTGTGCTGCAAAAACCTCTTGATGTGAAGGAGAAAGACAAGGATGAAGACAATTGAAACCAAGCCATTGGTTTGTCTAGTACTGGGAATGGGCTAAATTGACTGCAAAGGAGAAAAGAGACAAAAGCATCTTTGAATAGACCACACTCGGCATTTCCAAAATACTTACACAATCTGCTAGGAAAACATTCAACTTCGCTAAAGGAAAGTGTGGGCTTTCTCTCCATATGCTGTTGGACTATACAGATAACACAAGATTATATTAGAAAAAAAAAAAAAAAAAAAGCAGCAGCCAATCTCACAGGAGTGCAAGGAGAATGGTAACTTTTCAGTTACAAACTTTACTTCAAGAGCTTCTATCAATGTAACATTTTCCAAGGAACTTCTCCTTTCACTGCAGTAAACAAAGGACATTCCACAAACCATGAAAAATAGTTTAGTAGAAACAATACTATGAATGATAAAACTAGAGATTACTGGAAATTTCAGGGACTGAAGCACATCCCAAAGAAGTTGGCTCCCTCGACACACCACCTCATTTATGAGCAGGGCCACAGTGTTTCGTCCTTGCTTGAGGAATACAGATTAAGGTTTGTAAAAAAAACCCTACACAGAATAAGAAAAGGTTTGCTGATATGTAGGTATTATGCTGTCCTAGGCACTCATCTTTATCTACAGATGTGCAGTGAAGCTGGTTTATTTTGTGGGAGGGCTTGATAAAAAGCCATGTTGGATACACAGGAATGTTTCCTCCCAAACAAAGAAGTCATTCCTAGGAACTAGAAGAAAACAACAGCAAAGATTAAGACAAATTAACCTATTATAAGGAGAAATCAAAAGTTCAGAAGTCATAGCACACTGTATTAGACAAATAAAAAAAAAATTTCTCAAGTGAATCTCAAGAAATTATATACCAGTAGCATAAATGAATGAGCTTTTGGAAGTCTTTCCCTAGACAATACCCAAGTACCAATTCACTCTAGTATGGGTAAGGAAAGCCAAGGCTTCACACCTCTAAAAAGCCACTACAGTCCCTGAATCTCTCTCCATTCACTGCCTCCCTAGAAGGCATTCTTACTTTCTTAGAAGACATTTGTTTACTTTTAGGCATATCCATCCATGTCAAGATAAAGTCACATAAAGTTTCGAGTTTTTGCTGAAAAGAATTCCAATTCAGATAAATATCCATGTAGTAAAAGTCCAACAAACTGGGTAGAAATCAATTTTGCCTGGTCCCCCAGTACACTGAAACCAAAATTAAAATAGGTTCATGCTTAACTACTTCCTTCCTATCCATATTACAATCTACTTTCAGTGTTCATTTTAAAACTCTCATGGGGGACATCTCTTCTAGTATTTTAAAATTATTATACCATTCTCAATCCACCCTCCTAAAATCTGCAATTTATGATGAAACCAAAATTCCAAATTTCAGAAAATTCCTTATAGAAAAAAATGGTCTCATTTTAGAAATATCTACTGAGTCATTTTCATAAATCTAGTACACTAAACTCAAGCAGGAAAATAGGTTAATGTTTCCCTACTTTTGCTTTATGCATACTAGAATGTACTTTAAGTACCCATTTTAAGTATTTTCATGGAGGAATTTTCTGGGCAACTTGGTGCTAAAATATTTCAGCATAATATTTTAACAGTTGATAGTGTTGACATGCTATGTATTTAAAAGTAATTTTGGTGATCTCACCGTTTTTTGTTGTACAATAACAAAGACAAATCTTCTGTTTCAGGTTAAGTTCACATTTCAAACACCACAATATATTTGAACATATTTTACAACTTCCCAGTTCTTAAAAAAAAATACATATATACTACTTAATATTGGCAGAACTTGTTGTCTTACCAAGAACTGGTGGATGCATGGCAAAAGCACTATATCTGCCAAGGTAAAATAAAGCCCTTCTGCAAAAACATGGTCCAAAAGTGGAAGGTCAGAGGTTTTTGTTCTCCTGATTTGAGCAGCCTCCCTGTTGACTGCATCTGATACTTCCTGGGCACGTAGTTTGGAGAAAGCTATGCTCAGTTCCAAACTTGGGAGTGGATGTTCATGCATTTCCACTGTTTTGCCTTCCTCTGTTGCTTCTTTACCATGTACAGGCACTGCAGCCTTGGCACCTGCCTTCTGCTGTTGAAGTTTCTGCCTTCGAATTTTGTCATCGTTATGTACTCGGACAGGTTCTCCAAGCTTCCTTTCAAGCTGTAAAATGTCAGGAGGAATAGTCTGACAGTGCTCAGGAGATGCCATCAAAAATCCTTCCACAGCCAGAGGTATGCTGATCTCACAAAGTCTGGTCCATTGGCTAACCTGTCAGACAAATTTATGTAATTAACATCTAATACAGAAAGAGAAACAAAATCCAGGGTATCTTTTTGTCCACTTTAAGCCAAGAAATTCCAGCTTCAAATACATCCTTTGTTAATCTTAGAAGCTCAGATACTCTGCATTGCTTTTGCAATAGCAGGATAAGGAATCTAAATAACAGAATGAACAGTTATCCCATATAGCATAATTTTACTCATTACTGGCATAAGATTAGGGTGGATGCATAACTCAAACTGTGACCAATTTATATATATGAGTTCTATCAAGTGCTGGTAATAAAACCTGATTACATCAAACGGATTTTGAGCACATTTATTTTACAGAAATGCATTAGTGGTATTTTAGTATGCAACATCAAAAAACTTTTGTCTAACTGAGCAGCACCTTAAAAAAATTACTTTTTTTCATGTTCTTATCCTTGTCCTCTTTTTCTTATTATCTGTACTTAAAGATTTTAAAACTTAGGGTTTTTTTTCCTACTTTGCAGCCACCTGAAATACAGAATCAAGTTTTTCAGCAGTTCCAAGAAAAGATTAGAACCAGAAATTTCTGGAGGATGTCAGGGACAATTTATGCTAGTGCTGAGTGGACTAACAGAAATATGCTTCCCCAGATCTGCTACTGACCAACAGGACTGAAATGAGTTAGAAGCATAGTAATCAGTGGCAACCATGGGTGTAGCAATGACGAAACAGTGGAGTTCAAACTCCTGAGAGGAGCGAGGAAGGCCAGATGGGTAAAGTGCTATGTGACAAATGGTCTGAAATATCAACTCAAAGGGTAGTAGTTGTTAACGGTTCATACTCTACCTGAAGGTCAGTTAGAAGTGGAGCTCTCTAAGGGTCTATGCTGAGGCCTATCCTATTTAATTATCTTGACCAATGACTTGGAGGGGGAGGTGGAATACACTCACATCAAGGATGACAGTGTGTTGAGAAGAGCAGTCTGCAAACTCCATAAAAGAGCTGTCACTCACAGGGGCCTGCACAGGCTAGAGAACTGGCTGACAGGAACTGACATGAAACTCAGTAAAACATCCTGCAGCTAGGACGGGCTAAACCCCTGTAATGGTACAGGGTAGGGACTGACTACCTAGCCAGGTAGCAGCTCTGCTGAAAAGACCCTGGACATCCTGGTGAGCATAAGCTAAACATAAGACAGCAGTGTGCCTCCTTGGCGGTGATGAAGGCTAAAAGTATACGGTGCTCTTGAAATCAAAATTAACAATAAAATCAGGTATTTCTTAGTTTACTTCAAATTGCAAAAGCTGTATGTTGAAACTACACTGCTAGACATGAAACACAGATCTGACCTATTTTTTGAACACTCTGGTTCTTTTTGTGCTGCCAGAAAGTAGTATCTTTAAAAATAATTATTTTTCATCTTTATGCCAAAATGCAGATACTTCTCCATTGAGGAAATTTTATTTTCCAAGTTCTTACTAAAAAGAACCTAGTTTACATATTAAGTTTACATATTACAATATTAAGAGTCTCCTTCAGAGTATTTAATGATTATATAAGCCCCTATTAATGTATCTAAGAGAAAGAGATGCACTCACTTCAGCACAGGCTTTTAGGCAGGTCTTCTTAAAGCCTAAGAGTTCCAAAACATGCTTCTTAGATGGATCTGCCTCATACGTTTTCTGTATTATATGCCTTAAGACAACAGAAAGCCCAGCTCGGCAGAACTTGCCATCTTTCACAACAACAGCAGGTAAACAGCAGCTCTGCACTACCACTGGAAGCTGGCATCTGGAGATTAAATGGACCTCAAGATCGCCAAGGAGGTTTTTCGTCACAAACTGATCATCCACATCTTCACCAGTCGGCACTAAGAAAATTTTGAATAATTTGCAGTCACAGTAGGATAGCAAAAACAGTGAAATAGATGTATGAAGAGGAAAGATACTATCTCTGTACTTATGAGAAAAACCCAAATATAAATGTTCTTCAGCAACACTATCTTTCATCTTCCTCCTGAGTTGAAGTTCCTGAAATAGAAATCAGAACACAACATTCATAAAAGAATATTGCATTTAGAACAAAAAAGAGGGTTTGAAACAGTGGTCCTTCTACTATTTGCTAAAAAGGATTTTAACATAAGACACTATTAAAGACATCCTGCCGAAATAAGTGGACTGCAGGCCCTTCTTGAGAGAAAAGAATGGTTTCACACTGTCTTTTCAATACAAATCACTGAAATGATCTGTGTAATTTTTTTTAAATTTTAGCATACTTCTGACATTAAATAAAACACATAAAACCAAAAGAAAATATTTCCTTTCAAGTTTTTTAGTGTAGAAACATTTTATAGCAAAGCTTTTTTTTAAATCAATAATCTCCCACAACATTAACCATATATTACTGAAAAAACAAGTTCCTGAGCACATATCTACAACAGTCAGTTTTCTAATGCAGACATATGTCTTTCTGTAACTGTTATTAGGTATATTATATAGAGGATATTTAGGCCATGAGAAATAATACTGGGGTTTGTATTAAAAATTTATCTAGAGCCTGGCAAGATACTAACTGAAGGTCAAGAGGACACATAAGAACAAAACCCATTCATTTCAAGAATGCTACATGAACACTTCAAACATACAACTACTTTCAAATAGTTAAATACAACACTAACAAGCTGAAATTATGCCTTCTCATTATATTAAAAATTTAAATTCATTTTCCTTATACTTGGTTGAAAATTACATTTTTCCTATTAAACTATTTCACACCAGTTGAATATAAAAAAATGACGCAATAATTTTTCTACTCCATCACTCAATAAAATTGCTCATTAGCTTATAAATCACAACTCGTACTGAAAAGTTTTGGACACTAGATGGCACTCTTAAAACAATCATTACAGAAGAAAGCTTTATTATAATAAAAGAAATTTGAATGTTGCTAGGAAAGGCCAGCATGGTTTTTTATATACATATATATAAAGCACAAGCAACATTGGAACAGCATCAGTCTTTTAAATAACTGTCTAGATTAATAAGGTCTCTATACAGCTACACGAATACAATGTAATTCTTAAAAAAGCAAAAGAAATTTTCATTTATCTAGATTTTTTTTTTTCCCCATGTAGATGCGTACATTAAATTTACTATTTTATATCATCTATCACCAAGTTAAATCAATTGTCCAAAATGAGGCAGTGGAAGAATAAAAGCAAGTCCACCTGACATTACGTAAAGATCATTATAACGATTTAGTGAAGTATTTTTAAACCATGACATGACTTTGCCTCAGAACAACAGTGGCTCAACATAATAGTACTGTCATTTTTCTTTAATTAATACACTTGCCACACAAAGAATAGTACAATACATAAGACACCTACCTTCCTAAAAGCTATTTTATTTGGATAAACCTTGACAGCATATAAATTGAGACAGATTCAATATTGTAAGTACAGTTCTGTGAAAGGTACTGTTGAGATTATTCAAGAAGAGTTAGTCTTAACTGATAAATCCATAGTTGCTACCATTTAAGCTTATATCCTCAACTATAGTACTTCTTTCAATATTAAATAGTACTCTCACACACATTTGGATTGTTTATACTTTCCATGGGAACCATGAAGCACACAACCCCATCTTTTCCTGGCCACTCTAGACACCAAGACATACACATTCACCTTACAAATCACTTTACCACTGAATTTTTAATTCTGGTCAACCTTACTGGACACAATCAGCTTTTTTGGTCACTATCATGCTGTATAGAACAGCTAAATATTTTGGTAAATTCCAAAGAGGTTTTGATTTTCAACATATATTTTTCTGTAGTTTCCACCTGTTCACCACCTGTTCTTACAAATTAATTCACACAGAACTGCACAAGTAAAGCATCAACCTTTTCACCACACAGTTACTCTCAATAGGCACATTGGCCGTTTTCATCCAGAGTAGCAGCTCTAAAGCACTGTTTCCCCACAGAGGGTAACATATCATTAGACTAAAAATTTTTTAAAAAATAAAACAAACTAACAACAAACTTGAAAGATGTCCAAGTAGAGGTACTACTTAATCAGGCTACTGATTAAAATGACAAAAATGTCCTGCTATGAAAACTGGTAGATGAAAGGGTGAACAACGTCAATGTGAATTCTCCTCCAATCCGTTAAACAAAATTACTTCTACCCAGTAGCAATGAGTAATAGGTAGCAGCTGTCAGTCAGTCTAGAGACAGTAGCTGATTGGAAATAATGACTTGTTGGTTACTGGTTTGCTTTGTATTCAACACAGTAAATGCCACAGCTGACACTATCCTATTAATCTACCTGTCTCCTTGAAGTTGGAAATTTGACTTGAAATTTGTCTGGTCAAATTCAATTACTCTTCTCTGCAGGTACACAACTATCACATACAGAAGACACATAAACCACAGAAACTAATGCTGGGATCTTGCTGAAGCAGGACAAGCAGATGTTGTCCAGGGCTACCCACTCCATTCTCTTGCAGAGTCAGAAAACAGGAATACACATGCAGCCTACTTCATTTAGTCCAGAGTATCTTAAAAGTCACTTCTCTCAACCATTTTAGGTAAGGCTCTGGATTTTGCACTGAAGCCAAGGTACACTCAGGAAAGATATGTTCTTCTAAATGCCTTGAAGAGAGAACCTCTGGAAGACAGCTTAAGGGTGGTTACTAACTTCTTCAAAACTAAGTAATTTTTTGTAAACTTACACAGTAATTTGCCACTACTCAGCTGCAACATGGTGAACTACGACAGAGAGGCTGAATTATTTTTCTGAACCTAAATGAACTTCTACAAAGACTGAAATAATACACAGTGACATACATGACCTACTTACACAGCAACGCTGTGCTCACACTGTAAAATCAGAACAGTCTGCAGAACTGATTGAGAAAAAATTATTTGTGGGGAGAGAAGGAAGAAAGGGCCAAGACTTTTCTCTCCCCTCAGCCAGAGCAGTAAACTAATGTCATTCAGCATGTAGCTGCAAAAGTGTCTGTGTACAGTACATGGTAGAAATGTGAAACTGCAGGTGACAGGGAGCCCAAGAAATTACTTGTTTTGTCAGTGGCTCAGACCTAGATAGTATCAACAGGTCTTTGTATCTCACTGAATCAGCATAGTACTCTCTAGTCCCATGACTTGTTATACCTTCTCCACACAGTCAGTTCAGTCTCTGATTTGGTTCTTTCTCATATTCTTCCTCAGGTTAAGCCACCTCACACAGGCTTGGGAGTGCTTACAATAAGCTTAGATAGCCTATGAGAGGGATTGTCACTTAACAGTGTCCAGTACAACACAAACTACTGTACTCAGTGGCTAGCAGTCCTCCAGTACCTGCCTGGAACTCTACTCATGAGCTCAGAAAGACAAAAAAATTCTCCAGTAACTCTCCACAGAACTATACAACTTAACTCCATGAAGCACAAAGAACCAGTTACCAGGTTTACAGAGGTAATAATGATGCTCAGTATGAAGTTTAGCTGCTCAAACACAGGTAGCTGTATTAACCCTGAAATAAAAACAGAGCTTTCATTGCTCACTGACAAGAATCTCAAGGCTCTTAGTGAAACTGCAATATCTGCTGTTGAATCTTCTGAAATATGAAAAGGCATTTCTATATTTTCTTCTAGTTGGATAGGCAGTTATTTTTAATAAGTATTCAAATAGCTAGATGTTCCTTTAGCTAGGTTTTGTGAACATGCTTAAACTACATTTATCCCAAAAAGCAAAAAAATGTAAATACCACTCATTTGTAAAACATTCATTAGCTACTCAGATTTTTTTTTTTAAAGTACTCATAAAAAAATTTTAGAGAGGGATTCTCATATCAAGGTGACACAGTAGAACAGTTAAGCAAAGGCAGCTGTTTAGGTTAATTAGACTCTCCTCATATAGGAGGAGTAAGAGAAACACCAAAGATGAAAATTCTAGTCAATATTATGAGAATTTCCTTTTTAAGTAATCACATAAACAGTGATAGTGTCAATACAGCAACAATGAATCATTCCAGTCAGTAATTCTGAACGAAATAAAAACAAACTGCAAATTACAAATTTCTGACAAAACTGCAACTAACTAGTATCTTACCCTTAGCAGAATAAACTCCAGAGGAGGAGGTAACTCCAGCTGTCATCACAAAAATACAAATGTGTCATTTCTTTGATATTCAGAGAGAGTTAAGAACATTGCACATTTCACAAGATGGGGTCTTAAATCTGAGAATAGGTATTTACATACAGAAATGATTTCCAGACCCTGACAAACCAATCTGTCATTTCATCATTTATATGAGGGATTCATTTTGGTTCATGCAGGCAATTAGATCTCACTTAACTATTAAAGGCCCTGATCCTGCAAATAGTCATGGTACCTGACCTGAAGGTGTCTTTACAGTATACTGTCTAATTATCTTCAAATATAGTCCTAAATTCTTCTCATATACTACACTACTACTATTCTTCCTACCAAAGTCCCTTTCTCTTCTGAAATTAGCATTGCTACAACACTGAAATTGGTTTCCCAGAATGATACTCCCTGTTCTGTTACTGATCAATTTAGATACGAGTTATTAAACGTGCTGTGTGGGGTAGAACAAATTCTATATTTAATTAGAGTCCATTTAGGACAGTAACACTTTTGCTTCTGCAGCTAACCTTCAAGAGGTGACAGGAGCAGCTTCATTCAGCAGGAAAACAAAAGAAATGTTGCACTTGAAGCTCTTGTTTGCATCCTCCAAATGTTTCTCTCCTCCTTTGCTATGCCCAGTGTGGTGGTCCAGGGACACATGTCTTGTAAAGTTACCAAAGAACCTGCTTCTAAATTCCATGGAAGCTAAACAAGTATGTTATGTACCTTTAAATTCATAATTCAGTTCAAATATCAAACTACGTATTCTTAAAACTCTTAACTACTGATTTAATTAGGGTTAAGATTCACTTGTCAATTTGCTCAGGTTTGCTCCTCTCCCTCCTTCCAATGCTCACACTTAATTCTTCACCCAGTTGAAAATACAAATTATTAAGATGGAGGTACCTCAAACAAGAACAGATAAGCTTATGAGCTGATATTTCTGGTGGTGATCAAGTCAGGCAATTAACAGTGTTCATGTCAAAATCAGCTACCAGGTAAACACCCTTAATTGCTGAGCAGTAGTAAGACATTTTTTCAGAATTCTAAAGGGATGAAGGCCACTCTTTTATACTTGGAAGTTACTTTTTGCAACTAGATTGGCTGTAAATTGTTTCTAAGTTAATTCTTAATATACAAGACTGTCAGGGAGCAAAGGACTTTTCTTTCTGTCCTTTTTAAAACAGTCAAAAGTTTAAGGTTTCTTTTTTCTTTTTTAATCTATTTGTATTTCACAGAAGAGATTTCAGAAGGTCAAAACATAGCGATGAAGTTAATCTTGTTCATAGATATGTAAGTTGAACAGCCAAATGGCATTCTGAATAAATTAAGTCTCTATTAGAGATTCAGTTGCAACTATAGAGCTCATAATGCATGGGGTAAACACAAAAGAAATTTTAACCTATTTAGAACTTCCTACTAGAAGGGGGAAGGGGGAAGAAGGGGGAAAAAAATGGCCTGACCTCAATTGCTGAGAAAAATCTTTTGTAAATCACCTTATCCCATTTTCTGACTTGTAAATGCAGCTGTCTGAATCTACCAACTTGAGGAAGCACTGTTAAAAGTTCTCCACCTTTATTTTTCATAACGCACTTGCATGAAAAGTGTAATTTCTGAACTCATACAAAACTTTCATATAGACTGTGCAACTGCCAAATAACATGCCTACCTTTGTAACTTAAATTTTTTTTTAGTTCACATTTGAAGTTAGATTTAGACTAATCCAGCAGGTTTCTCTTGCTCTTACTCCTCTAGATATCAAAAATCTCTTTGCCACAGTGAGTACCTCAAAATTTTATCCAGCAAACTTTCTTTTTCAGCCTCAGACAGAGAGTGACTGATGTGAAGCCATGTGCAACATTCAGAGGGCCCATATCTTGAATTACAGGGTAACCACTCAAATGGATCTTCGTCTTTACCCACTCAACATCTGTTTCTAGATTTACTAAGGTGAGAGTAGCATTATTAAAATGTTGTACCAGACATTTTAGAGGTTGATAAAATGCACATTACCTAATAAAAGAAACAAGACTTCTGTTCTGGACATTCCCATATAAACGTCTACGCTGCAAGAACTGCATTCACTGCCTAAGCACTGAAGTCTGTCCTAGTTCATAGCGGCAGTTCAACCGTCCATGCATGCCACACATCTCTACTGTCTTATGTCTGACTAAATCATCGTAATATTTCTTCACAACTGGAAGCACTGACTCTTCTTCCTTTACTATAACCATATACCAAACATTATTACTCTAACATGCTGTTAACTAGGATTTTTCTTTTACTTTTTGCCTGAATTTAAATTGTGCTATTCCATTTGT